AGTATATTTGGAGACTGAGGGAAGCTGAAGAAGGCCAGAACCAGTTAATATGCTTATAGAAAACTTCTGTTGGACTCTTCCATACACAATTTTTGGTGAGGCTTAACCTGACATGACCACGAAAGGTACTACATAAACTAATGCAGTATTTAGTTCTTATTTTCCATTTTACACATATAAATTCTCTCTCTCTCTCAAGATATATATATATATATATATATATATATATATAATCAGTCTTTCCTTGCCTAACTCTTTCAAATATCACCAGTATCAGATGAATGGAGAAAAGAAAAAAAAATTAAGAGTCTATCAGTTCTAGTTATATTGCTGTCTGAATTTGACCAGTGTGCTCTTCCCCCTTAATTCTCTTGGTTGCTGGAGGGGCTTTCTAGATCTCTGCTCCTTTCCCTCCATAAAAATCCCTGCAGCTGCTGACATCTGCTCTTTCTATGCCTGAGTGAGAGTACCATCAAAAACTTCTAACCACACCACTCCTCTCGGGTTATTCACCTGCACCAAACTCTCTGGCCACACCTTACAAAGAGTCTTTATCCAGTCTATGAATTTAGTGGCATTTAGGGTTCAGAGGAAAACAGCCTTTTGGCTTGGAATTCAGTAGCATTTGGGGTACCATGGAGGGAGCTCACACAGGTGCAGAGCTCAGCAGCTTTTGATCAGGTGATGAGAGGGGTCCTATGTAGGCACAGAGCTCAGCAGTGTTTGGGGGAGGGCAGTAGTGGGAACGTGCCTACTCTGCCACTGCTCCAGTATCTATTCTCCAGCCTTGGATCACGTTGGTCACAGCTGCTGTACATCCCAGTGACTCATGGTCCCACACATCCCTCAATGGCTAAATCCCCAGCCAGGAACATACACTTGTTCCTAACTCAGTCACAGCCCTCTGAGCTATTCTTTTAGTGCCCTGATCTGAAGAGGTCCACTCCCTGCAAATATCTTGCTCACTGGCTCCATCTCCCAGAGGGGAAGAGAGGACACAGAGGGGCAGTGGCTGGTAGGCTGGGTGCTGGTTTACTCCCGCTTGGGGTCAGATTTTTTTCCCAAGGTATCCTGCTTGTCAGGCATGGGCTCTAAGTTGTACCAGGATTCTGAGGCAGCCCTTATTCTTTTTCTAAATCCTCCTGATTCTGGAATTCATCTAGTGGGCTTCTCTTTTGTGTCACCTTCCCATATTTGGGTGTTTGTTCATCCCCCATTTCCAAATACCTGTGGATCTTGGTATCTTCTGAGTGATTGTGATTGCTGCGCTGCATCCCCAACTTGCCATGATGTATTTTTATTTATTTGTTTATTTTTGGAGGCAGGGTCTTGCTGTGGTGTTAAGCTGAACAAGTGTGATCCTCCTGCTTCAATGAATACTGGGAGTACAGGCATGTACCACTATGCCTAGCCTCTAATGTGCTTTAATGTGAATTTCACACAATGCTAATATTAACTAAATTTCTTTAATAAGTTATAACAATATCAGGAAGACTTTTTTCCATTTAACTATGTCTTAATGACTTTAAAATCTAGCTATAAAATATGTGGTAATACCTTTTTAACAATAGTAGACAAGTTGTTTTTGCAGTGCAGGGGAATATTTCTTAATATTCAAATCAGTATTACCCACTTAAAAAGATAAAGAAATAGATGTGACTACACAGGAATTAAGCACTATTGAACAAAAACAAGCTCATTAAAAAAACAAAAGGAACCACAAACTGGGTGAAGACAGTTGCAATCCACAAACCTTACAATGTACTTGAATCTATTAGAGTATATAACATAGCTTCTACAAATCAATAAAAGAAACAGTAGAAACAAATGGAAAAGAGACCTGTGTTTGACAAAGGAGGAACTTTAGAGGACCAAAAAATATCTAAAAAAAATGTTCAATCTCAATAGTAGTCAAATAAGTATAAATTATGACCAAAATGTGACCATTTACACTACATTTGTAAAATAAGTGTGTGTGGGAATGCCCAGTGCTGAAGAAGATGTGAATCAAGAGTATTTGTAAAATGGTACAACCACTTTGAAAATGATTAGGTATTACCTTATTAAGTTTTTTTTTTTTGGTTTTTCTCCAGTACCGGGAACCGAACTCACGACCTTGCACTTGCCAGGCAGGTGCTTTGCCACTGAGCTAAATCCCCAGCCCCTACCTTATTAAGTTAAACAGTCACATTCTCTATTATTCAGCAACTTCATCCCTAGGTATCCATCTTTAAGAAACTTACACGTAATAAAAAGGGAGGATTAATACATAAATTGTAGTATATATTTACAACGGTATTCTACAGCAGTGAAAAGCACTAAAGCTACATGCAACAATATAGATGAATCTTAGAAAAGCCATCACTGAGTAAATCTTTGATGTGAATCTGTTTTCTTCAAATCATTTAATATTTTTCTTATGTTTTTCCAAAGTATTTCCTTCTGCATTCTAAAGAAATATTGTACCCAAACATAAGTTTTCATTTGTCAACAAGAAGTACAGAGATGACCCTCATCATCATTAGCATTGTGGAGGTAATGGATTAAGCAACCCTGCCCTCACCCTTCCACCCTCCCCTACATTCACCTGCTCACCCTCCATCACAGTCCCTGTGCTGCTGCCTGAGAAGAGTCTGGACTGTCCTGGGGGATGACAGTCAAGAGCAAGATAATCTAGAGATGAAGAGGGTAATCATAAAATAAGTAGGAGAAGATGGAATGCTTTGGGCTGGAACTAGAGCAAAGGAAAAGTGAGCAGCACATGATCATTCTCTCTGACCTAACCCCATGTATTTTGTTTTGAAATGTAATGATTTAATGACATAAATTACTTCAATTATTTAAGATGTTTCAATATTATGCAAAAGCTGCACTTCCTAAAGCCATCTAACAGATGATATATGAATTGATATCTAAATTATATTAATCTATCAGATATAACTTTTTCCTAACCTTCAACAGGACAGAAGTTAATAATCTGAAATGGAATTTTTCTGTAAATATTGCTACCTATATAGTGTGCAAGTTTGCGAACTGAATATTGAATCTGAAAATATTTCTAACCTTTTAAATATGCAATATTATACTCATTCTTTTTATCACTTACCTAGCCATAGTCTCAGAATGACAAGTGCCTAGAAATAAAAGTCCTCTTACCACAATATTGCTAACAAAAATTAACAAAAAGAAAAGAACAATAATTTATACTCATGTTCTTGAAGCAATGACTAATCTCTTTGATAAAACTATTTTCTTATACTTTGGTAAATATTCACAGCAGTTCAAAGGACTATTATACATTTTCTTTCCTGTTATAAATGAAATAAAATTACTGGGCAATAACAATACTGTCTTGTCTTTTGCAGAAGGTAAATTACCAATATTCCTCATTCATTAACTAAAAAAACCCTGAAAGGTAAAGTATTTTTGTTTTTGCATAGAGGTCAGAATGTGAAACATTAAACAGGAGCAATGTTTAAAGTTACGACTGTCATAATTCTTACTGAAGATTATACCTTCTAACTGGGCAAGCAGCATATTAAAATGTATCATGCCTGGTGACTCTCATGTCCTGGCTATGCAAAAGAACTTAGAAACAGGATACTTTAGTTGCCAGAGATTTAACTGGCCTTTATTAACATACATAGCAATACTTACAGAAGCATTTTCATTTGCACTTGGGGAAGTGATATTCCACAGGAAGGAATCAATGATATGGCAAAGCTGAAAGGATCCTGAACTCACTTCCATAGAGGCATAACAGAAATACCAGCCTGGATTTTGGGGAAAACTGAGCTCTTAAATTTGACTACAGTATACTAGGTATTCGAATCAAACTACTTTAGCTATTCTCATAATCCCCTTGACTAAGTTGCATTTTAATGTCTGTCTAGTAGCTTTTATCAACAACCAGCTGAAAATCATAATTGCACCTGCTACAAGAGTTGATAGTCTAGTCATATATACTCACTTCACCTAATATAAACACTAATGTGTAGGACAGCATTCTTTGAAAATTAAATCTCTAAAGAAAATTTGATTTCCCAAAGGAGTATCTTTAAAAAAAAAAAAAAAAAAACATATGCTAGAAACTATCTTGTGCCCACCTGCTTTGTCTTTATTCTCTAGGCAGTTCAAAACCAAATTTCATGTTTGACTATTGTCATTTTATTTATCTGGTTTTAATATGGTACTATATATTTCCTCTGGTGCTAATCCTTCATTTTTATAATTATTTTAATATTCATGGACTTGTTATAAGGTGATTCAAATGTTTTATGAATCTAGGCATGTTAAATAAAAGTACACATATTTTATTTAATGAGCTGTACACATGAACAAAATGATTAATCTCATGATTTTAGACGACATCTGTGAAAAAGAGGTAATATATAAAATATATAGAAAATAACCAGTGATAAGATCTTTTAAATTTTTACCTTTCACTGTTACTGAACATAACTGTCAAAACAATATATGTTAAGAATTTAAGCGAAAATGCAGTCAAACATGAAAACCAACCAACAAACTAATAGGTTCCAAACTGTGACCTGAGTTTGTACACTTGATTACTTCCTTAGGATAACTGAAAAAAAGTTGTCAGAAAAATTATCTCCCAGAGATAATTGTTCAGAAAGTTAAATAACTAAAGATAGTAAGTCATTACTGCACAGTTTGACTATAGGGAACAATCCAGGAAGTAGAGAGAAAAATGATTTGCTAAAAAAGGTTTTAAAAAAAGAGAAAACAGAAAAAGAAGTCTAACAGTCCAGTTATTAAAATATGAATTCAAAAATAATTTTCTAATAAAAATTTTATGACCAAAAATAAGCATGACATTTGACAATAATTTCTGAACTACCACAATGAATGCCTTTACCAGCCAGCACATGTTCAAAAATATGAAATCCTCTTATTTATCTAAAGATTCATTTTCTATAAGAATATAGAAGTCTTTTATAAAGGAAAGGTTATTTAAAATATTTTGAAAGAAAATATACCTTTTCTTAAACATGGATATCGGAATAATTTTATAATTCCATAGTCATCAGCTGTAACTAAAACTTGGCCAACAGAATTCCCATCTACTGAATTTATATCGTTGATATCTGAGTACTTGGGCCAAATTCCATTTACTTCAAGGCCTGAAACACATGTCCATGAAGCCCAATGAACACTTTTTATTTCTTCTTTATTTGTCACTTCTTTTCCTCCTAAAAATAAATCAGCCTTAATTTAAGAAGTTATTTCATTTTTTACTCGTTTAAATTTTACTGAAAACATGACAATTACAAGTTTTAAATATTTTCATTCAGCTGAGAATATATGAATATGTAAGTGAGTTTGGGTAAGAAGAAGAGAACAGAAAATGCAAAAAACTTTCTTTTAGAAAGCCACTAACAAAATTATACTGATTGAGACACACAGATTTGAATATGACTGTCAGCTTGGCAGGTTCACCCATGTGGAAAATAAAACTAAATCCTATTAAAATCATGACACAGATTACAACAAGGTAAATTAGAAGAAAAGGTTAAAAGCTAGGAGAAAGTGGCAAACCAGATATTAAAAAAGAAATCTAAAATACATAATTGAGGAAGAGAATGGAAAAAGACGAAAAAGTAAAGATAGGCAGAGAGTAACACATTTCCATTAGGTACAAGGACTTTAGGACTCAGTAATTCTTCATTGATTAGAGATTATTAATAAAAGGCTTTGGGGGGAGATGCAGTAATTTCATTATATGGAAGACAGTGACTAATTTAGTAAATTTCATATTAAAGTACTAGACAGCAATATATTGATCATCTTATTCTCTTTTAAAATCTTTGATGAAAAATCCTTTCCAAATTTAGCTTATTAGCTACATTATTAACACTGCAAAATTTTATTTGAGGTAACTATAAAAAACTAAGTAATTTATGGTCATGCATTTGTAGCAATTATATTTACTTAGTTCTACCCACCAAAATTATATTTTGACACTAACATAGACTGTGACTTTATCATATATGATTCACATGTTATAGAAATTCATACAATATAAATTGGTCTTAAATTCTTCAGGCAAAGGAATTTCAAAAAAACAAAAGGACAGAATGGTGGTTTCCAGGGCATGGGAGAGGTGGTGGGGTTGGGGAAATGTGATGACAGGGTACATAAGGTTTCAGTTATGCAGGATACATATGTTCTAAATATCTAATGTGTAGCATGCTGGCTATAGCATGTTGGCTAATACTGCATTACTACTTGTTATAGTTGAAATCTGTTAACAGGTAAGACCTTAAATGTTCTCACCACACCAAAAAATACATGAGCTGACGGATGTTAATTAGCTTGATTATGGAAATCACTGGACAATATACAGTATATGTTCATAAAAATCAGTTAATATAGACAATTTTTATATGTCAATTGTACCTCAATAATTATGGGGAGTGGAAAAATTCCAGGAAGGTTTCAATGTAATAGTGCAGCCTTAAAGAAAAAACCACAATACTTGAAATACTACCTCTGAGTCTCTTTGATTTCCTATAATCAAATGTAACTTACATTCTGCTTTGAATGAAATTCTAAAATCTCAAATAGACATTAAAATCTATAAACTATATATAATTTACTAAAAAGTTTTACCTGGCATCCTATAAAAAAGCCTTTTCCCATTTCCATCATTTGTCTGTAAATATCTACTGTCTGAGGACCAGTCCAGGTGAGTGATGAAACTAAGTGACCCAACACACTCGCCAACTTTTTTGTAACGCTGAGCAACTCCATAAATATCAACCGAGCTGTCATTGCAGCCAACAGCCAGGTAAGTTCCATCTGGGGAATATTTTAACTCGTGAATTGCTTCTTTCCTATCTTTAATATGTACAACTTCTGTCATATCTCTGTTAAAAAGAAAAAAATGAGACCATATGAACAAACATCACAAGAGAATTCTGTTTTCAAATGTGTCTAAAATGACTATGAGGCTGTATCAACTGTTTATAAACTACAAAATAAATGTAAATAAGTAGCATTAGTTCAGGAATAATTGTTTTGCTGAACGGAACTATATGGGAACAATATACATATGTCAGAAGTAGAGAAAATGGGGTGGGGCTGCGATGTGGCTCAGTGGTAGAGCACTGGCCTTGCATGCATGAGGCTCTGGGTTCTATCTCCAGTACCACAAGAAAAGAAGTAGAGAAAAATATCATTTTATAATTTAGGAAGTACTTGAAAGATTCCTACTAAGCATCTCAGTCATACGATAAAAGAAATAGATTTTTATGATGAATGTTCTTTGTAAATACGTACTGAGCTTAGAAAACTGTTTAGTTATAAACACTATAATTTTCAAACAAATTTCTATTATAAGGCAAATGTATAAAATTACATTAGAAAATAAAGGAAGTATAAAGGACATTATTCCAATAATACATTTGACTATATATGATATATATATCTGAATGTATATATATTTTTATAGCTACCACTATTTTTAATTCCACCTCTTCAACCTTAAAGAAAAAAAATCCTCCCTTGGGGATCTTGTCAATCAGCGAAGTTAAACTTTTTTTTTCAATGATGCCTTCTAAATGTGTTTCCAAAGTAACACAGGTACCGGTAGTAGCCATAAAAGTGGGTGAACACTTAGTTTAACACCACCAAGTTTCCAAGGTTGTGGAATTGGTGCGGAGGAAGGGATAGGGAAGAGGTAGGCAAGGACAGAGAAGAGGTAACGGGAAGTGAGAATTTATACTTCCAATTAGTCTCAGGGACTTTTTCCCATAGAAAATTTGCATCACTCATCTGAAATGTTCCAGGTAGATAATTTCAGAAACTGAAGTATTTTTCTCAGTTTTTAAAGTCTCTACATGGACAATTCAGAGCTCTGACACTCAGCTTGCTTTCAATAATATTAAATATGCACTTTGGTTTAGCATTAAGAATTTACACATAGACTTACCTTTCTGAGAGATGAATATAAAGTAATCATGATAAAATATGGTAACTGCTCAACAGGAATGTGTGAAACTCTATAAGAAATACCGAGAGAAGGGTTAAGACTAGACTAAAGACAGGGAGGAGCCAGGGAAGTATGAATCTGACTTAAGCATAAAACTTGAGGTGCTGGCTAAGTCTAAAAGAGGAGAGAATATTTTCCAGGAGGAGGACATAGGATGAGCCAAAGCAAGAAAGTATCCAAACGCGTGGTGCATACAAACAAAGGTGACTAACGTAACGTGGATACAAGAAGAGGCACGCAAGGTGGAAAATGATGAAGACAGAAACAGGGCAATCTGCGATGAATCTGATTTGTCGCCAGTTTGGGTTTTAGCATCATATTAATCATACAAAGAAAGACAAAAACTAGCCCTGAACTCCAAAAGGGGACCAAAACAAAAGAAAAAAACCCCCAGCATATGTGAGAATGTGCTAGCATTTTACCAGAAATTCATTTCTCCCTCTTCCTAGATTAAATTGCCCAGTCTCCTTAGTGGTTATTTTACCTAGGTGCCTCAGATCTCACTAAAGAGATGTGAGAAAAAACGATGTAAGTCATTTCCAAGCTATGCTTCTTTTAGGAAGTAGGCACACTCTCTTCAAACACTCTCACTTCTCACGCTGGCTAGATGTTTCTAAGATGATAGGCCTTAGGGACTGATGAACTACGACAAAATCAAAGAATCTGGGTCTTAGGAAAGGAAAGCCATTCACTGATTTCAAACTGTTCCTTGTGCAAGAATTAATACTCTTCAGTTGTATTTGAGCCACTATGAATCTAGGGGCCTTTTACTTATAGTAGTTAGAAATTACCATGACCAATATGATATTGGAACTAGAACTAGAAAAATAACCCCATGCTATATCTAAGATTGTAATATTTAAAGCCTTTGTACTTTTTAAAAAAAGCTTTCTTGATCACTTTTGCCTTAGCAAGATTCTCTTAAGGACAGATTCATATACCTCTACCCTTTCTATTGATTCTTGCCTTTAAGTTCTAATGCAATCTATATGGAGCAGGAGTTTTTAACAACTAAGATTTTATTTGATAGCTTTTTATGTTTCCTTTATTAAAGATACTATAACCCTCACAAACATTAGCAACATGCTTCTGGAAAACTTCAGAATTATTTTGGTATTTTTTAATAGTATTTTTGTTCTAAAGATTTAAGTGCACCCAATTAATGACAGAATTAAGTGTGTCACTTTGAAGATATCAATACATAATACAACAACCATTGTTAATTTCCTACAACTTTGTCTGTAACTCTGTATTGTTTGTATGGTTCTTATGCTATTTTGTAAATGGATGTTTGCTAATATGTTTTCCTTCTTTTATTTTTAAAATAAATTTTAAAAAAAGAATTAAGTGTGCCATGAATCTCTGGTTTTTCTGTCATACTCCTGTCCTCTGAATCACATACAGTATAAAACAGTGATGGAGAATGAGGTTCTGGCTGACTGACTGGTTTTTTAATACATTTTGTTGCTATGACTACCCTCTTTCATAAAGAAGTTTCTATGACAAATTTAAAGGGAAGATGCTATTAAGTGAACAATTGTTAATTTAAAAATTTTAGATGAAGACTTTTGGGAAACTAATATGTGGGTGCTATGATTTCTTTAAAAAGTAGAGTCCAAAGTCTGGGAATATTTAAATGTTAACAGTTTGTAACACATCATAAAGTAGAGATACATAGCATTGGTCAGAGAATGTAACAGAAGAATCATTCTTATTTAAGGGAGTCTGGGAAGACATTATTAGATGGAGTGGAATAGATACTCATGATGTCTAAACTGTATTCTGAGGAACAGATGGCCCTTGGTAAGTAATGCATGTATGTTCCAGCAGACAGAAAAGTATAAGAAAGAGCTCAATGCAAAAAATCATTCAAGTTCAGTTTAAGGAGGCCAGGTAATTACACTGATGTAAGAAAGGGGCTATAGTATGAGTTGAATCTGGTGAAGGAAGTTGAGGGAAAATTATTAAAGGCCTGTTAGTTCTTCTTAAGATAAGGCCCTAGTCTGTGAGTTTAACCCAAGGTAGAATCTTTAGAAAGATATCATGGCTTTGCCTTGGTTACACCAGTTTATATCTTAAGAATTAGTATGGAATGGGCTGGGGGTATAGCTCAGTAGAAGAGCTCTTGCCTAGCATGTGAAAGGCCCTGTGTTCAATCCCTAGCAGCACAAAAGAAAAAAAAAAGATTACGTTAGATTCTATCTCATGCTATGCTTCTCCAACCATAATACTGTATAACCACTCCTTGTGAGGGTACTGAGTACAGCTATACTAATGAATCTTGCCTTACTATATGGAGAATACAAAGTGAACCAAGAACAGGCAAGTTGAGAAGGATTAAGGTTACTTTGTAAGTTAAAAATTTACGCTTAAATTACAAAGGCATTTAACTGTCAGAATCATTATTCCAAGTACTCTATTATCAATGTTTAATTGTGTAAATAAATTACAGCCTTATTAGAGATAACATATTCACTCAGTTTGTGGCACACAGTAATTCAAAGGACAAATAAATGTATAACTGAAAGGACAGTTAATGTATAAAATAATAATAATCATAACTCTTTAATGCATATCAGCAATAAAATAGAACTCTGAGTTGTTTTACATACATTGTAAATTCTTGTAAAACCTCTATAAAATTAGCATTCCAATTCCAAAACTTCCAATACTTTCAGTTCTTGTAGACAAAAAATTGAAGCAGATTGCAAATATTGTTATTCATAACTAGTCTCCATGGATTTCTAACATAAAAAATTAAATAGCAGTCTCCAAAGAAATTAACCTATGAGAAAAATGAAGAACAAATGCTCAGTCTTGGATGATTTTGGTTAGAAAGAGTCTAGATTCACTGACCAAATCAATGGCAAAATTGTAACTCCCCTGAGAGCCTAACAGGAAAGTTTCATAATCTTTAATTTCACTCTAAGCAGCTATTGACATGACAAAACGAGACAATAAGGTATATTTATACGGATCTAGGAAAGAGGGTTTAATTAACACTCAAATTTTACATTGCACTTTAAAAGTTTAGTTTAGAAATTCCACTCATATAAGGCACTTAGATTATACCAATTCTATCATACAGACAGAGAGCAGACTGGTGGTTGTCAGAGGCTAGGGAAAGGAGGATAGAGAACTGATATTTAATAGGTGTAGAGTTTCAGTTTGGAAATGTGGAGAAATGTGTATCAGTGTGTGACAAGAGGCCCCAGCATGCCAGGACACCTAGGAGAAAGAGGCAGACAAAGAGAGGAATGCACAGAGTACAATGGAGGGACTTACTACAGAAGCAGAGTCCTGGGCAGCAGCAAGATCAAGTGGGTCTAGACATTGGGTCAGAAGGAGGGATATACACCCACCCACGCACAGACAAAAGTGACTTCACCCAAGCCAGAATGCACCTGGTTTATCCTAAACTAGTACCTGTATTTTAAGCTAGTCTTGGTATCTGGTTGTAAAGGTGCCAAGGTCTGGTTGTAAAGCTCCAGACAACATTGTAAGTCTGCATATTTATGGCATCTTGGAAAAACTGACTACAGTTATTCAGACTATTATGGTGGTTACGTTTCAAAATGGCAATAGTCATGTCAAGCTGAACCCATACAGAAAAATAAAAAAGGTCCGAAGATGGATTGTGGTGATAATGGTGCAACAATATGAATGTACTAAATGCCACTGCCTTTCACATTTAAAAACAGTTGAAAGGTAAATTTTATATTATCTATATTTACCACAATTTTAAAAATCAGTTTAAGAGAAAAATCATATCTCATCAAAACAACAAAACAACATATCTCAACAAAAACCTACACGTAAAAGAGGAGTTAGCACGTACAGAGGTTCAAAAGTATCAGAGCATATGATGTATCTGAAGTGAAAGAAATTTTGTATAGATGAAAGAGACTGAGGTATTAAGAAATTGGCTGGAGAGAGAAACTGCCACCCATGTACAGGATTATGAATTTCACCCTAAACAGAGTAGGACTCCTTCCTCATACTTTGTAAGGAAGAATGCAAATAAATGTGTTTAAAAAGGAATCACTATCAGTGAAGAGCAAAAAAGATCTACAGAGGAGGAGACTAGTTATTCCACCAATACAGTTAGGAGATGACAAAAGCCTACACAAGAGTACAGTGAGAAGGAAGGAAGGAAGGACATTTATTTGAGAGCTACTGAGGAACCAGACTCTCCAGAACAAGGGAGGCAAAGAGGGAAATGAATGGACCGCTTCTGAATTAAGCTACTGAATGGAGAATCACTGAGCTAGAGAAACCAGATTTCATTAATATGTCTGCTGGTGAGTATCTCTGGATCTGCAGCGAAATTTTAATGGTTGCACAGGATTCAAATTGGACGCACTCACCTACAATTCAACACCAGGTGTTAATTTTTAAAACAAACTCATTACATTGAATTACTCAAAGGAAGAGATGCAGGCATTGTCTCTCACAGCATAAAGATGCGAAGAATGACAACAAAAGACACCTACCCATTTTTTTTTTTTACACCCCCGGGGTTGTTTAATGCAGGGGCTTATTACTAAAAATTAATACCACCAAGGAAAGTCAGGGCCTAAATTTATAGCTCAAAAATTTATTAAGTTGTCTACTGAATTTTTTTTTTTTCCCGGTACTGGGGATTTGTGGATGTAGGGCCTTTGCACTAAGCTTCACATTGAACTACATCAATTTTCTCTATTTTTGAGACAAGGACTTGCTATGTTGCTCTGGCCAATTTACAATATTCTCAACTTCTAGAAAGGCAGTGGTCAAAATCCTCCTGCCTCAGTCTTCTAGAGTGCTAGGCTTACAAGCATGTGTCACTATGCCTGGCTCTACTAAGCATTCTTAACCCTTCAAACCAAGGTTTTTGAGTTTGTTGTTCTGACAAAGCTGTTCTTTTATAAATCTATTTTATATTTAAGGAGACAATATTTGAAACACATTTTAAGAATAGGATGAAAAATAAATGGGTGAAAAATGAGTATTACATATTGTACCTCACTGAACAGAAAACTACTGTTTCTACTTCTACCCTAATACCGTACCTTACTCTAAGTACAGTGAATGAACCGTCCTTCATTCCCAGCGCAAGATGGATCCCATCTACATTTACAGCTGCACAACGAATTGGTTCTTCCATATTACATCTTGCGATTAGTGCATGATCTACTAAGCTCCAAATCCTGGAAGATTTTTTAAAAAGAGTGTTAACTAATGTATACTTTCAAAATAATGATGAAGAAAAGCTTTTAGTTAAAATAATAATCACATTTCAAGTAAAATAAATTGAAATTTTAATTTCTGGCAAGAAATTATCACCTGGGAAAATAGAAATATTATTCATGCTTATATTGACGAAAGTATTTTTAAAAACAATACAATCACATTAATTTGTTCCAATCATTCATTTTAGTTAGATGATCTCTACCCTAATCAAAGGATGGTGGATGGATGGATATATATATATATATATATATATAATTACTATATATGGTCTTTGAAATTTGAAAGTACTCATATTCAGAATCTGTTCCAGCCTACAATGCTAGAAATCAGCAATGAAAGGATTAGAAAAGATGTACTATTTGAGAAATGAGGATTATACTTTCAAATAACACCGAGACAAAGACAAAATAGTAAAGTTAGTTAATATTTTTAAATAAGTTAACAAAACTTCTTCACATTAAAAGGAATATCTATATAATATCTGTATCTATATCTATATAGATATATATCAATCAACCAATCAATCACACTGAAGATTTAACCCAGGGTCTTCACATTGAACTACCTTGGCTATTTCATACCTTGACTAATTTCATACCTTGGCTAATTCATCAATTGTGGCAAAAATTTATTATTTTTATTTTTTATTTATTTATTTATTTTTTATATATTTTTAAATATTATTTTTATTATCAGTACATATTCATCATATTAAAAAGGAGGAACAAGAGAAGAGTGAACTTTAAATATTGCATTTTAAAAGTGCTAGTGGAATGTAGATCATGCTGTTAATTAGACAGCAAAGCATTATTTATTAATTATTATATAGCTGTGTTAAAAGAATGTGAATATACATTAATATTACTAGACTAAACATTTATTATCAACAGCTAAGTTACGTAGAAATATTATAGGCAGTTGGACAGGGCTAGGCCCTAGAAGCAGTCCGTACAGGAGATAAGAACACATTACAAATGCAGCTGGAGGCACCCTGGTTGAAGGCCAGGCCTCAAGATACAGATGGAATGATGTAGCAGCTAAAGAAATGTGTCCAGAGAAAGCACACTTGCTTCAGAGTTGGCCCTTTAATAAGAATAGTTGCTCAGAGATTTAAGAATATTGGGAGCAAGACCAATAAGTAATTTAAATTCTTAGCCATAACACAGTCATTTGGAAGGACTGTAAAACCGCTGAATTTATTATATTAGGTCCTGGGAAAGGCCTAAGAATTTGCACTTCTTATTTTTTGTTGTTGTTGGTTTTTTTTGTTTTTGTTTTTCTTCCGGTACCAGGAATTGAACTCATGACCTTGCACTTGTCAGGCAGGAGCTGTGCTGCTGAGCTAAATCTCCAGCCCCTGCACTTCTTATAAATTCCTTTGTAATTCTGATGGAAGTCCAAGAACCACTCTTTGAGAACTATTATAGACAAAGTGCTATTTCTTTAATATGCACAGATATTATTAGAGTCTATTTTAAGTCAATTAGAGAAAAAGACCAATGAATTCATAAAAATTAGGCAAAGACTTTTCTGGTCACAGAAAAGGGAATACAAATGTCCTCCAAACATATGAAAACATATTCAACAGCATTTAATAGGTGAGAAATACATAGCTTCCAAACATAAAAAATCATTTTTTATCTTTTTGGGCAAGGGTTTGGGAAAATAGGCACTGTCATATGTTGATAGGTGTGTAAATTTTTGCTGTTCTGTGTAAGGTATTTAGCTGCCAATTTTAAAGTGCATTTAAATACTAATAAGAATTTATTTAAATACTAATTTAATTACTAATTTATTTAAATACTAATAAGAATTTATCATAGAGATAGTCATATATATACTTTTACAAAATGACATAAGTACAATGCTATTCATTGAAAATGCTGTATTTATTAAGACACAAAACTGCAAGAAACTAAATTTCTATCAGAAATGGCTAGCTCAACAAATTGCAATATATCCAATAGCTATTAAAATGTATAGGTAGCTCTGTATATTCTAATATGAAACAAACTATATTTTTCAGAGAAAAACATTTTTTTATTAATTCTATCAATTTTAAGTACCTATTATGTTCATTTGATATACTATAAGCTCTAAAATTTAACCCTAAGTATTTTTTCAATTTTATCTAAGGACGAATTTCAGCCTATGCAGTGACTTTGTAATTTGCTTACCTGACTGAACGATCATCACTTCCTGTCACAGCCAAAGGTTTATTGGGATGGACAGCAAGTGCCCAAAGTTCACCTTCACAGTGTCCTTGCATAATTAGGAAAGGTTTATTTCTTTCATGTACCACAATTTCAAAAATTTCACTATCCTGCGTTCCAACTAAAATGTGGTCACCTCGCCAACAAACACTCCTCACAGACAAACCTAGTAAAAAATGCATTTAATGTCAATAATTGTATTAAATATCAATGTTGTAATAATATCATGCCAGACTGCCTAATTCAAAATTAAACCTTGTACTTTTCATACCTTGGATGTTAAGATAGGAGAAATGCTCAAGTCCTTATTCTGCACTCTCTTCTTCAATATTCTATGTTGTTTTCTACATGGAATATTTCTTTTTATACAGCCATTTCTACCCATCCTTCAAGATATACACCCTCTTCTTCCCTGTTAGACAACTACCAATAATCTAACTCCTTAGCCAATGTTTAATAGCATTTACAGTCTCTTTCAATAAATTATTATACAGGAACTTTACATAATTGTATTTTTCTTTTGTAAAACTGTGACTTTTTGCTTATCTATATTTCATTTCTTCACTCTTTCATAAACAGATTCAGAAGAGAGATTTTTACTTTTTCTGCAAACTCCACAATTCCTTTTGCAACCTTAGTAAAGCTGTTTTTCTGTTTCTCGTTTGTAAAATATGGCAAATATAACAGTTACTATATACTGCACAGTATTTTTGTGGTAATCAAATCTTTCAAGCATCAAAGAAAGAGTAAAATAGAACAGCAATAGATAGGAAGTAGGGAGAAATTCCAAAAACACAAGTTCCTTTGTCTAAAAGATATTTCAATATATACGCTAATTGGTTTCATTTATACGACTAGCTTATCTCAGTTTGTTGAAAAGAAAGTTTTGTGTTATTATCTGTTTGTTTCTTTATTGTAAAGATCTTTTTGGCTTATGTGTTGTAGTTTGAAGATAAAGATAATGATACACTGTGTAATAACTAGTGTTATTCTTTTATTACTTGATTGTTAAATTTTGTCTTCATTTTCATAAAATAAAAAATTATTTTGTAAGCTTCAAAATATTATAATGTTCAACATAATATAAAGAGATAACTAAATAATTATCCCAAGGCTGTGCACCTACCAAGTGACTAAAATACAGTTTAAACAAACACCAATGAAACTTCTAATCTGAGGCTTACAACAGCACTTTAGCAAATGTTACGTTAAATTTTATTATTGAAGATCTTGTATTTTAAGTTCCCAAAAGGAAAAAAAAAATCCCCCAATTGCTTACAAATTGGATGAAAGAAAACATACCTATGCACATTTAAATCACCAATATACTTTATTTGCAACAGTTTCCTTGGTAGTTTTGTTTAGCATTCTAATCATGAAGTATTTTCAAAATCCAAGGTTAACAAAGTGCCTGACACATCTCACGTTATAACAGGTATTAGATATATAAAAGAATCTGTCATAAAAATGAACCCAAACTTTCTACAGGCAAAATTCCTCTTCAACAGCCTTCAAATAAAATGTATACAGTGTGAAAGGCAAATCAAAGTATTATTTATATTTTCAAAACACATAGTTATGTTTAGCAAAAGAAAGAAATAATCCTTGGTATGTTTAGAATTTGCCTAGTAATGAGGCATTTGTTTTATTATTACCTTTGTATCCCTGATCTGTTTCCCTGAGATCAATCACAGTAATTGGTTTAAAAGTTAAATCCCAAAGACGAATACAGCCATCTCTGCCACCAGTAGCAAAGCCTTCTTCACAAGCATTCATGCTAAAAATTCCTGCCTAGATGAGGAAATAAAGTAACAATATAAGCTTCTTAAAAACACCTAGCATATAAAGCTAGAAATTCACTTAAAAATATTTTGATATGACATATGAATAAATGAGTATCAGAAAACACACACAAAAAATCTAGAAATATGTCCTTAGGAACTTAATATGTAGGTAAAGTGGTACTTGATGAGATGCTAACTTTAAATACTATACATATAAATGAATTATAGAGGACTAAGTTCTAAACATAACCATAAAAAAAATAGAAAAAATGAGAACAACACTCATTGGACTTTGGTACAAAGAGCCCTTCCCAGTCCTCCTCATGGCCCAGGGAGTTTATACTTGTTATCCCATGAAAAGTTACGGGAACTCTAGAGAATTAATTCCAATCTACCACTTCCAGTGCATCCCATGGTGAGAATAGACACTAAAGCATATTTGTACTTATGGGAAGCCAAGGGGTCCTAAGTCCAGAAATGATGATGGCTATCTGGAACAAAGGCCTCCACCCAGGACTGAATCCAGATTTTATTCATTTGTGAAGACGGGAGTGGCTTGAGGATGAATGACTGTGAGAGTGGTGGGAAATACGTGAGTGCCATGAGCAGGGGGTCAGGGAAACACGCCTGCCATCTCCAAAGATTACTATTAGCACCTCGGCTAGACCGATATGCATTGCTTAAGGCCAACTGAAGGGATAAGGAAAAGTTGTAGCCAGATCAATACATATCAATATATGGAAACAGGGTCAGGCTCAGCTAAAACGGAGGCAATTACTCCTCTTTTAAGGAGAGTTGCCTAGGAGGTCCTCCACACTTTGGGTTGTAAGATCTTTTCATGCATGGCATAAAAACTACAAGGCATAAAGGAAAGGTTTTAAACTTCAGCATATGAAAAAAGATATCACTAAGAAAGACAAATTATGGAATATTTGCAATGTGTACAACTGAAAAGGGAACTATCACCAGCATACAAATGAAGAAAAACAATTCAACAATATAACCAACCCAAAAATCAAAAAAGAGCAAAGGATTTTTTAAAAAGCCAATTAATAGAAAAGTAAGTAAATAAGTGAAATTTCACATATAGACAGGAAACACAATTCACCCAAGAAGGTACCACTTTTCCGAGAAGATAAGCAACACTGGTCGCATTCTGTGCTGATGAATATGACGGTAAATGAGCATTTTTATATACTGACGGTGACAATGTGAATTGCCACATCTTTTGTGGAAAATAATCTGGTATTTTTAGTCTGCAAGCATTTTGCTTAGAGCAAGTCATTTATAAACGGTATTTTGATATACTCAGGAATTTTCTACTTGAAGATCTCACTGTTAGCAAGGCAGCAGCTTTGTGCTTTCTAGTTCTCTTCACTTTATGAGGAAGGATCTGCTGGCTAAAGAGCTCAAATAAACATTCAAAATGTTAAAAACAAATAGTTCTTATTTAGTAACTTATTTATATAAAAATCTCATAAAGTACAAAAATCCCTTTGCCACTCAATGAATCAATGTTGTATTTTTCTAGACCTGGATCCAAACTGCCCACTGGCAAATTAGTCTTAAAAAAAAAACTAGCTTTATTTTACAGCAGTTAATCTTAAGGTTGACATCACAATATTTTAACGCTACTCTGACAAAGACAGTGTTAACGCAATGGTTTTAACATATTAATTATACTAATTTAACAAATATCCATGAGTGTTAACTGCATAATTTTTCTAACAGAAAAACTGAAAACAAATTCATGCAGTTAAATAACATTTTCTGAGAAATAGGACTGATTAGAAACAGTATGCTATACTACACTGTGTAGCCTGCTATTCTAAGACAAGAAAGTATGCCAGCTTGTGTCTACATGGCCCCCAAAGCCTCATGCAGCCACAGGTGGGGCTTTTGAGAGGTGGCTGGATCTAGAGTGTGTGAAGCTGGGATTAAGCGTGTGTGGTTACTAAATTAATCCACTGATTAGTCTGGCAGAGTTCTGGGTGTGGGTAATGGGAAGGCCCACCCTAGATATGATGGAATATAAAGGACAGAAAGAGGGCTGCTGCTGTTGCTTGCTACTTCAATGCTTCTTCACTGTTTCACTGCATGGCTGCCTCTGCCCGCCCCGAACTGTTTCTCCTCTGCGACGTCCCTCTGCCATGTGCCAACCTGCCTTGGAGAAAACCAACTATGGACTGAAACCGCTACAAACTGTGAGCCAAATAAACCTTTCCTCTTTTAACTTTGGGTGCCAGGTATTTTGTCTTGGCAACAAGCAAAGTAACTAAGATAGAAGGTTAAGTACTTAGTATTTAAAAGTATTGAAATACACTTACAGTATGGGCTCCTTGAATTGTTCGTACAAGATTGACCCCCTTCCAGACATATATATCTCCATTGAGTGCACCAGAATATGTTAACTCATCTCGAGCGCAGGCTAAGCACAATATTGTCTGAAGGTCACCTGTTTTACCAAAAACCCCTCGTTTTGGGGTCAGAGCATTTCCACATAAACTCCAAAACTGGAAAGTATATAGCATAAAAAACAGATAACTAAAAATAACAGATAACTAAAAATTTCTAATACTTCAATGCTATATCAGAATAGCAGACTAGAAGTTACCTAAGAAATTGCTTTATGATACAATAGCATTCAATGTTCACATCCTCATTCTAAGGTTGCCAAAAGCTATGTAACTGCAGGTAAATCACTGGTTTCAATCCTTATCTGTAAGAATAAGGGGGTTGAACTAGATTATTTTAAAAATATACTATGCTTTCCTTAGATTTCTAAAAAACAACTTCTTGAAAGAGATAAAATGTCATGAATGAGTTAGCAATGAAAATGAAGGTAAGACACCATGTTCTAAAAGGAAAAATGACCAACTCTAATGTTTAATCTCTAATGGAAACTAAAAGTGGAGAGGGACAGACTGTATGTTGCTCTTATTGATATTTTTAAAAGCTGAGCAATTTCCTTTTGTAAAGTTTAAAAATGAGACAGACACCAATTTAGAATGATTTGTTCATCAATTAGAGAAGATAGAGAAGTCAAGTATAAATCTTTGGAACTACAGAGTTTGCTCTATATTAGGTGGACTTCAGTAAATTTTTATAGGGTGCAGAGAGAAATTTCTTGTTTTAAATTAGACAGGGCAGGGGCATATATATTAAATAATTATGTATAAATTAATTAGGTTGAGAGAATAAATTTAACTTTTTTTCTTTTTTTTTTTTCAGTACTGGAGATTGAACCCAGGATCTATACACTAAACTACATCCCTAGTCCTTTCCTTAAAATTCTGAGACAGCTGGACTCAAACTTGTAAGCCTCCTGCCTTAGCTTGGCAGAGTACTGGGATCACAGTTATACAACTCCCTCCATGCCTAGTAAATTTAACTTTGTAGTAAGTAAATTACTATTTAAAATGATATAATATTAATATTATATTTTAAAGCCCTAAGCCTAAAAGAACAAACACTATAACATTTATCCATTCAAATAATTAGTACTTTACTGAATTAAATTTTGTTTTGCTTTTTCATTTGTTTGCTCTAAAAAAGCCCTAAAAATGTAACTTGTAGCTTTATTTACAATATAAATCACCAGTAAGATTTTTTTATTCATAACTAGCCAATCATTTATTAGGATATATATGTGTATATGTATATACACACACATATATGTATATATGTATATATCTGTCAAGCATCATCTTCCTCTCAAAGATAAGACAACAATCTCTATCTTCACAGTGTTTACATAATGTGCCTTAAAGCCTAGCATAGTGCCTTTGCTACTTAATAGTTACTGAAAAGATAAAGATTTAATATTACTCATTCAACAAACTAACACCAGAATATAAAAAACAGAATTGCAGCAGCAGTTAATGCTGCCATAGACACAGTAGGAATTAACTGTTTTCAGAAACTCTTAGACACGACAGAGTAAGAAAAGCAAGTATGTGCCATTTGCACCAGTGACTTATATTAGTCACAAGATGAATATCACCACTAATTTTATGGGCTTCAAATCCTCAAGTATAATTTTAAAACAAAACCTATAGCTTCTGTAGATCAGAAAGCTGACCCTGTGCCAGGCACTGAATTATGTTGTCTTTTTAATCATCAACTCTTCAAGGATAAGAGCAGTCAGTTTTAAGATTTGACAAAAGCTCAAATAGGTTAAATAACTCATCCAAGTTAAACATACTTGTAAGTAAGTGGCAGACCACCTTCACCTATGATGCTTCTACATGCCATTCTTGCTCTGTGAATAAAAGGCTTCTTGTTTGTTTGGCTACCTAATATTACCTTTTACTCTGTAAGTGAGATATGAAGAAACAAGATGAACACAATGAATCCTACCTCACTAGACTATAAATTCCTTTACTGAGAGTGGTTACTTAATTCTTATTCACATCTATATCCCTTACAATGTTTCAAAGTAACTACACAATAAATATTTGTTAAGACTGAACATACAAACATTGAAGTGGACATTTAAAAAATAAATACTGTCAAGTTTCTAAAACTATCCTAAATTATTACTAGTGTAATATATAGTTAAATAGCAGAAAATGAAATTAAACAGGATTATTATAAAACAAAACCCTTTTAGTACCTTGATATGTTTTACACCACAGCTGACAAGTTTATTTGGCTGGTACAAATCCCAAGAAATATCAAATATCTGTAAACAAATTGAATTCATGGTTAAAATATTTATTTCCATAATCTCTTAAAATTCCTGTCCAAAATCAACCACAGCTCTCAATAAAAACCCCACATTTCAAAATCTTATGAAAAACAAAAATAAGGAAGAATAACTTAGTGCAACAATTAGTAGAATGAAATATTTAACACTTCTATGTATATATATATGTATATATATATATATATATATTTTTTTTTTTTTTTTTTTTTTTTGGTACTCTTGCTATGCAGTTCAGTGTGGCTTTGAATCCACTATGAGCCCAGGCTGGTCTCCAACTCATAGTGGTCCTCTTGCATCAGCCATCCCAAGAACTGGGATTACAGGCATGTGCCACCATACCCAGCTAATTTCTAAAATAATTTGGCCTATAAACAGCTAGAATAATTTCGGGCCAGGGATATAGCTCAGTGGCAAAGTGCCTGTCTGGCAAGCACAAGGTCCTGAGTTTGATTCCCAGTACTAACTAACTAAGTAAATAAATAAAAGTTCAACTGAGAGTATCAGATAGATACCTGCATAATTTTTACAGGGCAAGAGTCTAAGTGGAACATACACAACATGAGTAGAGCTAGAAATAATATTTATATAGCTTTCCATCACAGAAGACTTTCACAAAGGTACAAAACAGTTTTCATAGTTTTTTTTTTTAAGCTTCCTTACTGTTTATGGGCCAAACAAAATTAACTTACACATACACACTTAATATTTTGGAGATCCCAGGCTTGGTTCATACTAAGATCCCATAAATCCTAATACATACAAAGTATTTTATGATAAACAAAAACTCAGATGAAAGAAAATATGCATTAGAAATACATGATTGAAAAATAAGTAAAAAGAAAAACTAACATTTAAAAAATAATTCATTTGTTCAGCTATCTGGCAGTCTTCACCATGTTTCCTTGATCCTTGTATAATCTAACCTAAGGTGTTTACCATGTCTAAAAGAGTGACTCTTCAGTAATGAAGAAAAAAATACTTCTTATAACTTGATGTTTAACAACGCATCATAAAAGAGATTCAATGAAAAACACCATACAACTTTAAAATACTAACCCAAAATACTTTAAAAATTCTAATACTTTTTAAAATAGTTGGCTTATTTACTAAATTCAAAGTACTAAGTTGTGAAATGCCTTATTTTCAGTAAAACAGAATACAGAACTATCATCTAAAATGTCCCACAGATGGTGCTTTCAGAAGGTGGCTGGAATGGGGGGATTACTTTATTCATCAGGTAATTAATCCACAGTTGAATGCAGTGTTAGGAGCTGAGGCCCAGTTAAAAGTTGGGTCATGGTGGGTGTGCCTGGGAGGGTAGATCTATAGTTCTGGCTCATCCCTCCCTCTCTGGCTCCTGGCTGCCATGGTTTGCATAGCTTTCCTTGGCCACGCCCTTCCACCATGCCATTTCTGCCTTTGAGCCAGACAACAATGACTGAACCCTCTCAAGCTGTGAGACAAAATACACTGGGGGTGTCAGGTACTTTGACCTAGGAACAGGAAAGCTTATTAACAAAAAGCTGTCTGAGAAAACATGTGTACACATTTTATAATTATCTAAATTGTAAATGTGTAAGACTGTATAACAGGCTTTAGAGGCTGCTGAAAATATACACAGAATTTTCTGTGTAACTTTTATCAATTCATAATTCTTACAAAATAGAATAATTGATTTTGCCTCTGTTTTGGTTTGAGTTAGGATTTTACTACACACACTCAACAATTAGACATTTTTAAGAGCTTATAAAATTGTTTTATCTATGTTCACAAAAACAGTATAATATTTAATGGAAACACTGATTACATTTTCTTTATTAATCCTATATAACTAAGCACAAAGAATATATATATTTTAACAAAGTCCCAAAGTAAAAAATGTTAGATCTCTAAAAAAAATTGTAGCAATATATTATTTTTCTGCACTGTTGGGGATCGAATATAGAGCCTTGAGCATACTAGGCAAGCACTCTACCACACACATTTGCAGTCCACAGTAATAAAAGACATGTACACCAACTAAACACACCCGAGATACAAACCATTAAATTTTAAAAATCAACATTTGAATAATGGATGTTTGCATGTGTCCAAACTCAAACTGCACATACTATGTACAGTCTTTTATATGTAAATTACCATTCAATAAAGATGCTGGAAAAACCCAGAAAATGTATTGTTTGTACTGAATCACTGGGTTAAAAGTTTTCTGCTAATACTATACGCATTGAGCCATGTTTCTGAGTCTCACAATTCTACAATTTTTAAAATACTGTTTTAAACAGCTTTACTGAGATATAATTCCACATTAAATTATTTACCCAATTAAAGTGTACAACCCAATGGTTCTTAGTATGCTCACAGAACTATACAACCATTACTACAATCAGTTTTAGAACATTTCATCATCTAAGAAAGACACTGGTAACTGCTGGTAGTCATTCTCATCCTTTCCTCTCCTCCATAATTGCATAATTTTGTACAAAGTGTAAAATTTTAATCTGGCAATAACAAAATACAGAAGAGTAAAATTCCCAGAACTTTTCTTTGGCCTTTTCCTGCCCAACAGTCACACACATTCCCAAAGGAAAATACTTACTCGATCTGTGTGACCAGGAGCCATAGACAACACTTTCCCCCTTTTCCAGTCCCAAACACAAACTGCATTCTTTGAATCCAGTCCAACAGAAACCAAGCGCTGCAGTATGTCCAAACAGTCCAGAAGGGAATAAAAAGGAAAACAAATCAAAGAACAACCAGATTACAAATGGCAAATAAATTCTATTCATGAATTGTATAAACCTAAAAACTTATACATCTGTACTTTATAGATATCACAGATAAGGTAGATGTATTTCATCTTATTAAAACTTGCACATACATACATACATATATACTGTTTCTTCCCTAAGAAACAAGATTTCTAATAGTAGGATTGACAAAAAATCCTAAATATAACTCCTGCCAAAAATAAAAAATACTAGATAAATGTAAATACATGTTTTTAAATGTACTGCTGAGGTGTCAAGGAATTAAGAAAATGAAAACACAAACAAATTTCCTGTACAAATCCTAAAGGATAAGAGACCACATACATAGGTATGAGATGAATCCTGAACTCCTCACTTTTATCCTGTGGGTTGAAGAGGAATAGGTGATAAAGTCTAGAACCTACTCCAGGTGAGACCTTAAAATTGCAGATCTCTGACAAAAAGCAATGAACCCCTAATAGTACGGCACAACGCAAAATAACCCCTTAAAGAAAGAGGGGTGACAATGCATGACAGGGAAAAAAAAATCACCTCAGCAGTTATAACCAGAAGCAATGTTCACATTGTTGTATGACCTTAATTTGCAGTGGTCACAAATCTCTCCAGTGTGAGTTTGCATTCAGAGTGGTCCTACGGACTGACTGTGTCTTCAATCAATTTTGACCAAATGGCATAGGCAAACAGAAATTTTGTAGAGCAATGTAACTTTCAAATCATTCCTTAAAGAATTCTTACAGGTAGAAATTTAATAAAAATAAGTTTTAAAAAAATGAAATAAAAAATCCTCCACAAACACAAAAAGAGACTGTGAGAATCAGTAGGTCACAACAACAAAATTAGTCTTGCAAAATACATCAGATATTGGAATTATAAAAACAATGTGAAATAAAAATGTAAGTAGAGAAATCAAATTAAGGCTTCACAGTAGTTGAATATGAACAAAGAATAGGAATCTATGAAATATATCCAAGATGTGAAGAAGTGTACAGAATTTCTAGAAATGAAAAATAAGGCCACCAGTGGTGGTACACCCCTGTAATCCCAGCCCTTGGGAGGCTGAGGCAGGAGGGTCCCTGAGTTTGAGGCCAGCCTTGGGTATATAAGTGAGTTCAAGGCCAGCCTGAATTATGCAGCGAGACCCTGTCTCAAAAAAAAAAAAAAAAAAAAGAAAAGAAAAATAAAATACATGAATGAGAGAAGGTAAGAAACATGAAAAGATGACACTGTAGTCAATAAGAATTATTATCCCCTGCCACAAATATATAAAAAACTGTAGAAAATATATGAAACAAATATGTTCAGATATTTGTAACAGGAAATAAAGCACTATGAACTCTAAAAGAGGGTTAAACAAATGAGTCCTACAAATGCCTCAGGCTTTCATTAGGATGCAATTTCCAGATAAAGGCACATAAAGGTGGAACCCACTAGAACCCAGCAGACTTGCAGTTTTAAAGACAGAGCCTAGAGTTCAGCGAAGCCAAGATGGCTAGAATTTCCAGAGCAGAGAATGAGCTCCAGGGACTTTGTCTACAGGTGAGACTTGGAAACACTATTCTCTGCATGCATAGAGCAAAATCCATGAGGCCATAAAAAGAAAAAATTCTAGAAAATAAGTACTAAAGGGGGAACCACAGCCAATTTTAAGATCGTGAGGGCTAGAAATCGTCCAAATTCCCGACAGTCAGAATGGAGACACCTCTTTGAACTCACTGTGTATTAATTATCCCAGGAGCATCACTCCAGACCCACGAGGGATTTTCTTAACTTCAAGAACACTGTTCAAATGTTGTAAAGGGACACAATGAAATACAGAATTGAAATATAACATACACAATCTCTAGCATCTAATGAAGAAATTACTGGCATGTGCAGAAACAAAAACAATTGCCGGGGGTGGGTAAAATCAGTCAACAGAAACAAACCAACCCATAAGTTATGGAGATGACTGAAATTAGAGGAGTCACTATAATGAAAATGTTGTAGAAGTTCAAGAATTACCTTAACACACAGCTACAAATGATAAACAGAAAAGTGAGATCTAAAAGAAGAATAAAGCCAGATGTGGTGGTGCACACCTATAATCTTAGCCCTGGGGAACAGGAGACAAACGAGAAGGAAAAAGGAGGGAAGGGGGAAGAAAGAGGTGGAAGTCCAAGGAGTAGGGGTAGTGGGACAGGAAGAGGGCGAGAAGATGATGGGGGAAAAAGAGGAGAAGGAGGAGGAGAAAGAGGAAGAAAGAAGAAATAAAACTTGTAAAAATAAATTGTGCATTATTTGAAATGAAAATTCAGTTCAGCTGGGTGTGGTGGTGCATGCCTGTAATCCCAGCACTTGAGAGGTTGAGGCAGGAGGACTGCTGAGTTTGAGGTCAGCCTAGTGAGTTCAAGGCCAGCCTGTACTGCATAGCTAGAGCCTGCCTCAAAAAAAAAGTAAAAAAAAAAAAGTCACGTCAAAGAATTAAAAGCAAGTTAGACAATGATGAAAAGATAAATGAATTTGAAGACACAGCAAGAGAAACTACTGAAAATAAAACACAGGAAGACAAAGGAAAAAAGAATTTACAGAGCCTCAGTTACCTCTTTGTCTAACATGTAACTATAGCTCAAAAAAGAAAAGAACAAGGAAAAGAATATAAAAACCAACTAACTAGCCAAAAATGTTCTAAATGCAATGAAAATCACAAACCCACACATATAAGATACTAAAAAAACCCCAAGATGAATTATCAATCACACTCCAAGACACATGACATGCCAGGTATCAACAAAACTGCCAAGACAAGTACTAAGACCAGTATGATATTGTACACCTGTAATCCCAACTGCTTTGGAGGCTGAGGCAAAAGAATCACAAGATTGAGGTCAGCCTGGGAAACTGAACAAGACTGTCTCAAAATTAAAAATAAGGACTGGGAATGTAGGTCATTGTGAGGCCCTGGATTCAATGACCAGAATATCTTTCTCACACACAAAATCTTAAAAGCAGTCAGACCAAAAAACAACCCCCCCAATTAAAAAACAAAACAAAACAAAAAACCCAGCAACTTTCGTATTAAAGAACAAAGATTAAAAAATTATTCCAGTTTTCTCATCAGAAGCCACATAAGTCAGAAGACATTGGACAACCTCTCTGAAATGTTGAGGGGGGAGAAAAGCCAACACAGAACTGTGTACCTAGCAAAAATGTTTTTTGAAAATTGAGTCAAAGCAGTCTTTTTCAAATAGACAAAAGCTGGGAAGCCAGGTGCAGTGGCATGTACATGCAGTCCCAGCTACTGTACTTGGGAGACTGAAGCAGGAGGATTGTTTGCACCCAGGAGTTTGAGGACAGACTGGGCAACACTGCAAGGCTCCACCTCTAAAAAGAAAAAAAAAAAAAAAGCTGAGAGAACGCATCACTGGAAAAGATGCTCATGAAATACAACAGTAAAAGTTTTACTGGGCAGAAGAAAAATGATACAAATAGGAACAATTTACACATATGCATAAAAGCCCCAATGGTAAATATATAAATAAAACTTTTCTTATTTAAAAATTTCTTCTAAAACTCTTTCAGGCAAAAATAACAATAGTTACTATGTGGTTTACCAAATATGTACAATTAAAATCAGTGATAATAAAAGCCCAACATACAGGAGAAGAGAAAGGAAACAGCAACATATATTTTTCAATTTTCTTTGTCAGTGAATATAAAACTTCAGGAAAATCACAAATTTTGGATCACAAAGTATCAACAAATTACATAAAATTAAAATACAGAGTACTCTATGTACCCTGATAAGGAATTAAACTTATCCAGAAAATCCCCAAATATTTAAAAATTATATTCTAAATAACTGAAGTACCAAAGAAGGAATCACAGAAAAAATGTGAGGAACAATACAAAACACATTGAAAACTACTGGTTTAGAGCAAGGGTCAGCTATCTACAATCTACAGGGTGAATCCTGCCTGTATTTTATTTCGTAAGTCAAGTTTTACTGGAATACAGCCATGCTCACTTTTTTTTTTTTTTTTTTTGCACATTGTGACTGCTTTCATACTACAGAGTGGAGATGAGCAGCTACAACAAAGACCATAAGGCCCACAAAACTTAAACTATTTACTGCTTATTATAAAAAGTTTGCCAAACTCTGGTTTAGAGCATGATTCAGGTACCAGACTACTTAGGTTTGAACACCATGCCTTCCTAGCTACGTGACACTGGGCAGTGATCTAGCCTCTCTGTACCCTACTTTCCTCACCCATAAAATGGAGATAATAAAAATACCTCAGAGGGATGAATAGAAACTTAATGTATACTATACATAGAAAAGTGAGAAGAGTGCCTAGCATATGGTTAATGTTAAATAAATGGTTGTTATCATCATTATTACTCTTAGGATATCACTGCCATAATTCACTTTCAGAATCCATGCACTCTACTTATCCAAATGAGAAATGCCATTTAGTAATCAATTAGAAAGTTTCTGCAAAGTAGGCTTACTATTTAAGCCACGAAGGCAAAATGAACAGTTTAAAAAGATTAAAAATAGAAAAAAGATTCAAAATACAGTTTGCCAGCCAGGTATGATGGTACAATCACGGCACTTGGGAGGCTACAGCAGAAGGATCATTACAAGTGTGAGGCCCACCTGGACTACACAGTGAGTTTAAAACTAGCCTCAACTACACAGCAAGACCCTGTCTCTAAAAAAACCAACCTCCCCGCTCCAAAAAACAGAAAGAAAGAAAAAGAAAAACCACCAGAACACAGTTTGTCACGATTCTCCATCAAATCAAGCTAGTGGAAAGTCCAGAGAACAAGAGATGATGATTTATTCTTTTTGAGACTCTAATTAGGAACAAGAGGATATGAGCAAATATCTAACTAGAACAAAGATATCTACCTCTTGTTGTAGCACAGAATATAGAGATTAAAAATTTTACAAGACCAATATAAAGCGAGGAATAGTCCTGTTATGGTTTGTGTCTGCATGTTCCCCCAAATCCTCATGCAGTCATGGGGTGGGCTTCTAGATTTTTGATTGATCCATAGTTCAATGCTGGGATTATAGGTGTGAGTGATACATGTGCCCCTGGGGTGGGTAGTTTTCATACAATATAGGGAGGGAAAGAGCCTTGCTCTTTGCCACTCCTCCCTTTTTGTTCTTGCTGCTTTTGCTGTTTTTCACCACCAAGAATGGTTGCCCTGTGCCATGTGCCACCCTGCCTTGGAGCCAGCTCAGTATGGACTGAAACCTCCACAAACTGTGAGCTAAATAAACCTTTCCTTCCTTAATTTTGGGCGTTGGGTATTTTATCTCAGCAATGAGAGAAAAGTAACCAAGACAAGTCCTTTCTAATAATGCCTCTTCTTTCTGTCTCAGCTCATTGTATACACACAGCAAAACTATAACTCCATGTATCCAAGCATATACAGGGTAAAGGCCTTGGGTTCAATTCCTAGGACTGAAAAAGAAAAAAGCTTTGAAGTATTTACCTCTCCAGATGGTATTTCCTCTGTAGCCTTCACAAACAACTTGTCATGGCCAAAATCAACCTATTTCTAAGTGTGGGTTAAGCAACAACAAACAGGAAGGGCAGAAACAACAAAACAAAAACCACCTCCTCTTCTAGCTTTTTATACATTTTTATTTTATATTCTGTTCTCACTTAGTCTAAGTAAGTAACAAGGAAGATAAAGTTTTCCAGAAGTAATGCTTAATCCGTATCTGCAAAGATAAGAGTAAGAGACAGGTAAAAAAGTAACAATGCATTTCAGATCAAGAAAGCCAGACCTCAAGATCCTGTTGCTTTCAAAAAAGGTCTGGCAATTCCATGTGGTTGAGGGAAGACCAGTCACTGGGGAAGTGTCAGAGACTAGACTGGATAGGTAGGCGGGAGCCAGGAAAAAAAAGAGGTCTTGGCTTTCTGAGAGATAACTAAATGTAAATGTGCAATCTGGACTATCTTTAGGACATTCGAGGGGATTATGTAGAGTTGAGAAAAGCAGGGCCTCTGTTAATTGATACAGAAGTCAAAGTCATGGGTCTAGATAATAATTAAGAGAAAATAGTTATGGGGTGGCTATAGCTTCCTGAGCAACACTGACATGAGACAGAAGGAAAAGTTTTTAAAGAGAAGAGTTAACAACTGGAGAAGGTGAAGAAAAACCAGGCAAATACTGCAAGCCTTTATCTAGCTTCCCAAATGCCCCTTGAATCCTGTTCTCAATAAAAATCTTATCTGTGTCCATTAACTGAATTGGAAGCAACACAGCATATATTCAGATAAGAGTCCTACTATACACTAGATGAATCCTATGAGTCCCTGTAATTGCAAAACAATGTCAAATAAAGGACAATTAAACTTTTGAGTATAGCATAGAGAACCTAGTGATCTCAGTGTTTATTTGTAAGAACTAACCATTATTACAGTGTAACAAAGTAACATTACAAATTTTATAGAAGATTTAGGGCTTAATAAAGTATATACTGGTTAAATCACACTTAAAACTATTACAAGTTAGCATCTTGCATAACACTTCGAGAATACTACAATGTATACTTGAGGTACATCTAGATATAAAAGCTTACTAAAAGGCCCTGGGGAAAAAACAGTCACACCCCTCTGTATCCAATATTATTTTTGCAAAAATGACTTTTTATAATCATGTACCAAAAGTCAAAGGTAAATGACACATTTTATTTTGTATCAGCTTATCATTAACAAAACAGTTAAAACTACTTTACTATGTAATAGTTCATTCTATAAATTAGAAGAGTTGCCACTGTAACTTAGATCTTGCTATATATGAGGAAAATGTTTTCGTAAGCTATTATATTTTCAACATAAAGTACCAGTTGAATTTCTCATTCTCTTGCCCACCTCTCCAGTTTACAATTAAATTTTACTCCCTGTTTGATATGGATTTATATAAATAGCCTTTGCAGGCCCTAACGGTCCTCAATAAGGCAAAGGCTGCCAGTAATAGTGTGCATATTCACCTCTTTATTAAGAAAGCCTCTGGAAAGAGAAAGTTCAGCATTACCACCAATTAGGAAACTCGATGATCAGATAAACCCTAAATGATCACTTACAGCTTCAAATCTAGTAGAAAATGCAAAATATAAGACAATATACCTACTCACTATCCCATAAACAATTTATAGGTAGAAAACAGGTATGTTCTCTCTAATGTATTTTTCAAGTTAAACCATTAACATAATCTCTTAATCTTCAATTGGCAGCAGTTCCTTACAGTTTAGCTTTTTGTGTACTTAAAATGGATTACTCCCTTTTTAAATATACCATTTCCTAACTTGTATGTTTGGAGGCAGGAAAGCATTGCTGTTAAAAACATGAGCTTTGGAGTATGACTGACCTGAGTTCCAGCTCTGGCTCCATTTACTAGCTCTGTAACCTGGGGCAAGTTATTTAACCTCTCTAAGTCTCAGTTTCTTTATCTGTAAAATAGAGATAATAGTAGTATCTATTCCATAGGTTGTTAGGAGGCTTAAATGAGATAATGCAGGCTTAACAAAATGCCTGACATTTAGTATGTGCTCCATATCTTTTAGATAATATAAGCTTAAAATGTTAGTACGTTCTCAAGAAGATGTATGATAATAAAATACATGTACTCAAGATATTCCTTGTAAATTGCTTAAAAAAACCAAAATTGAAGGCTTTATGAAATGATTTCTCCTTGGATCTCCTTAACAATGCAATACATTACATTTAAAGAGGGAAAGACCCTTATAGCAAAAACATCTTGAATTTCCTAACACCTGAAATGATAAATGATTTTTTAAAAATACTGTATGTAGATTTTTAAAAATAATATTTTAAACTCCTGTGAAGTAGGAGTTATTATTCTCCTTCCTTTAAAGAAGAAAATGAAATCTGAATATGAGGATAATAAGGGACTTGAAAGATAACAGCAAAAATGTGGTAAGAATTAAGTTTCTATAATTGCTAATAACTCCTGCATAATAATATTAAACCTAGAAGCATATCTTCCCTAAATAAGAGGTTCCAATTAAGTTTTTATAGATCCCTTACCAGAAAGTAATCTCTCATCAGAAAGTCCTATGACTCTATCTTACTCAAAGAAGCTATTCCTTAGAATAAATGAAACATGTACTTATCTTTTTGAAGGGGACAGAATACACTAAAATCTGTTTCTGTAAAATCTAGATCTACAAAACTAATTTCATGTATTGAAAGGCAGTAACAAATTCTTCTAAAAGTTACAATGATTTTAAAATCTAATTTTAAAATAAAACTTTTACAGATTACAAATTCACCACACTTACAAAACCCAACTTTCTTTACAGTATTAAATAGCTATAACAAGCCCCATAGAAAAGCCTGGTTGATATAACTTTTTAAAAATCACTGACTAGAAGTAGAAGATAATTAGGAAACTGGTCAGGAGAGTGATAACTATATCCTTTGCTTTGAACTTTCATTCTGTATAAAGTAACTCATAGGAATGATCTCATTTTCAATAAAAATGTAATTATAAAAGATAACCTTATAAGTAACTAAAAATTAAAATGCATTATACCTCTACTTAGAGAAACAATTTTCCTAAGACAGCTTTCATCACTCCTATCAAAATACCCCACTTAGAAAAGGATTATACATAATAAATTCACAATAACAATCAGGTAATATTCCATCGAATCACTTTCAAGGTAACAATTAACTTTCACTTTCAAGGTAACAATTAACTTGAGGAAGTTCTTCATATGATGAAAAAAAAAAAGACCTTTATTATTATCTTTCTTATATAAGTCAACCACCCACTGTACCCACATATCTTCACCATTGGATAAACAAATATTTTCATCAAATGCTTTTCAATTTAATATTTATAGATTGTTATCATTTCTTACAGTACACATTTTAAACATTATTAAGGAAAAAGAAAAACATATCACATACCTGTCCATCTAAGTCGAATGCTAAGCAAGCTATACCATGTGTATGAACATCCTTTAGAACTGATATAGTCTGCACAGTGTATGAATCCCAGACACAGATAAAAGGTTCTTTCCCAACTTGTCCTGTTGCTACCAATACTCGTTCAGGATGCAATGCAAGACTACAAAATAAAGAATAAATAAATAAATAATGAAATTTATAGAACTTTTATAGTATTTACAATATATGGTGCTTATATATCAACATGAACATTAGACTTTATTTACTTTAAATAATTTGGACTTAAACAACTTCTAAAAATTCCATGTGAAGAGTTACTATTTCAATAATGTATCTGATAAACTAGACATACTGTTCATAATCCCTATAATATGGTATGGTGTAATAAACTAAAAAAAAAAAAAAGAATTTTCATAAAGGAACAATGGGAACAAATTAATATAGTACTCATCTATTTTAAAGCTCTCTTTTCTACTTTATTGTGGGAAACACAGGATCCTCAGGCCCCTAGGCCCTCCCTTTGTGTGGGCCGGAGCCGCAGGTTACTTGGGGTCGAGATAAAGACTAAAATGCCTGTGCCTCTTGAGGAGAAAATGTTCTCCCCTCACAAAACCTTGAGAACTTGCTTGGCTAGGCTTTCACAATATGAAAAAGTGGCCAGAGGCCTTGTAGATTAAAATAAAATGTCTCGGCCTTGTAGAAAATAAAATGTCCCGAGCAGTCTTGTGGTGGTGTGACAACTTTCTGCTTCTCATGCTTTAAAAAAATAAGATAACAACAGACCTTGGGTTATAGAGCACACCTAAAACAGACTGTCAAAAAAACAATTACTTGGCTCGGTATATACTCATATGTTATCTAAAAAACTACACTTATATACTATTAAACTTCTTACAAAATAAACTTCAATATACAGTTACAGTTACAAACTTGGCTCTTGCTGCTCTGCATCCCCTGTGTCCTGGTTTTGTGTGTGCCTCTACCCCGGGCCCCGAGTACAGCAAACACTCACACTTTATTGTTCCTTTTATTGGATAATGTTAGACTAAATATTGTCTAAAATGGCATTTAGTAGCATTCCTATTATAATATTAATATATGAATTATACATCCATTGTAAGAAACAGAAAGGTCACCTATAATTCATAGAAAGTGACTTATAAAAATAAGACATATAACAGCTGGTAGTGGTTTATGTACATTAGCAGAAAGCAAGGAACAAAAATAAATTTTTATTTGATTCAAGTTCAGAATATCATATTCACCTTTGAGATAAGAAAAAAATCACTCCTGGAATGAAAAGGGAAAATTAGGATATTCAAACAAAATCAGTGGATTGGATGTAGAGGACACAGAAAAGTGAAGAGTCTAAGAAGAATCTTGCGTATCTATCTAGCTTGAGCATCCTAATAGCACAGGGTAGTATTCATCAAGTCAGGGGATACTAACTGAACTTCAGTATTTCAAATTACAGTACCTAGAAATGAGTAAGATGTTTTATTTCTACCAACAAAAATTTCTACCAACAAAAATTTTAAGTTGTGGGAACTAAAGAGCACCCGGGTCAGTTAGCCATTTTAATTTTTATGAGTGCTTATTTATCTGTAAATTAATTTGAATATAATCCTGTAGAGGATTTTTATCATGTTGACATAACTTATAACATGTACACAAAGATAACATACATAAGCACACATATATACAAACATAGATCTTATAGCTTTCATGTTAGAATTTTAATGTGACAAAGCAGTATAGTATATAGTACCAATTTAAAAATCAACAGTAATACAAATTATATTTCTGACAAAATGTCAAGGAGTGGGAGAGTACAAGACTGATTCAATACAAGACTGATTCAACAGATGAAATTCAACAAATATATTTGCAAAGTAAAGGATCAACAAAATCCACATATATTCACTTTAACAAACAGAAAAATGACTTGACAAAATCCAACCCCTTTCATGACATACAACAAACTAGGAATTGAAGGGAACTTCCTCAACCTGATAAAGGCATCAAAAAAATCTATAGCTAAAAATATATTTAATAATGAAAGACTTAAATTACCCTATTAAGTACAGGAACACGATAAGGACTGTCAGTGTTTGCTACTTCATTTGACAATATACTGAACAGTCTAGTCAGAACAACTAGACCAGAAAAAAAAGAGAAAAATAAAATTACCTCTACATTCAGATAATGTGATTTTACATAGAAAATTCTAAGAAATCCACAAAAGAGTAGACCTGATAAATGAGTTCACAAGCTTGTAGGATATGAGAACAATATAAAAACTCAACTGAGGCCAGGTATGGTGGTGCCTTGCTGTAATCCCACCTACTTGGAAATCTGAGGCAGAAGGATCACCAGCTCAAGGCCAGTTCAGTCAACTTAGACTCTGGCTCAAAATAAAAAAATAAAATAAAAAGGCTTGGGGATTTTGCTCAGTGGTAGAGTACTTGCCCATCATGTAAGAGACCTTGAGTTTAGTTCTCAGGGCTGAAAAAAAATCAGCTTCATTTCTCTGCACTCACAAAGAATAACTGAAAATCAAATCAAGAAAACAGAATCTACTACAATAGCAATAAGAACAATTCACTTAGGTAGAAATTTAATGAAGTACTTGTGCACAGAATCCATAAAACTCCACTGAATGACATTTTAAAAGATCTAAATGGGAAAACATCTCAAGTTCTAGGCTTGAAAGACTACTACTACTACTACTACTGCTGCTGTTGCTGTTACTACTACTATTATTAGTGCTTGGGTCCAACCCAGGGCCTCCAGCACGCTAGACAAGTGCTCTACCAATGAGTCATAAGTCACACACACACCTCTGTCAAGAATATAACATTTTAATATGGCAACATATCCTAAATTAATCTAAATCAATAAAATCCCTGCCAAAATACCAGTTCTTTCTTGCAGAAACTGAGAAGTCAATTTTACAATTCAGAAAGACCCAGAACAGCCAGAACAATCCTGAAAAAAACAAAGTTGAAAGACACTTTTCAACTTCAAAATTTATTACTCACTACAAAGCTATAGTAACCAAGAATGTATGGTACTGGCATTGAGACAGAAATGCAGACAATGGCACACAATTAAAAGTCCAATAATGTACCCATACAATTTTTTGCCAATTGATTCAATAAGGGTGGTACTAAGATAATTTAATGGGGAAGAAATTAGCCTTCTCAATAAATGATATAGGGATAACTGAGTACTCAGGTGCAAAGAATGAATCTGGACACATACCTCAATTCATATACCAAAACCAACTCAAAGCAAAGACTTAAATGTAAGGTAAAAGTTATAAAACTCTTAAAGAAAGCATCAGCCACAGATCTGAATGACCTTAGATGAAGCAATGGTTCCTTAGGTATGGTACTAAAAGCAGAAGCAACAAAAGAATAGATAAATTAGACTTACTGAAAAATTGAAAATTTTCGTGCTTCTTAGGGCAACCATCACAAACATGACAACACATCCAGAAAAAAAGGAGAAAATATCTGCAGAGTATATATCCAACATGGGATTTATATCTAAAATCTATAAAGAACTTTTTTACAAATCAACAATAAAACCATAAATAACTCATTTTTTCCCAGTGGACAAAGGATCTGAACAGACATTTCCCTAAGTAAGATTATATAAAAGTCATCCAGAAAGATGCTCAATTTCAGCAGTCAGTATGCAGATACAAACACAGATCACACTCTACCACATTTACGATTGAAAAGAAAACATCAAGAACTGTTTTGGCAAAGATGTAGAAAAATGAGAAGCCTCATATATTGCTTGTGGAACTGTAAAATAATGCAGCCACTTTGGAAAAAAGTTTGGCAGAGTTACCATATGATGCAACAATTTTATTTCCAAATACATTTTTGCCAGATGTGATGTCACATGCTGTAATCCCAGTACTTGAGAGGCTGAGGCAGGAAGATCTCTGTGAGATCAAGGCCAGCCTGAATTACAAAGTGAGACCCTGTCTCAAAAAACAAAATTCATAAAAACCTAGATACATTCTTAAAAGAAATGAAAATATGTCTACAAAAAATCTGCACAGGACTATTCACAGCAACATTATTCATAATAACAAAAAGTGACAACTCAAATGTTTATCAATTGAACAATATAATAAAATATGGCATCCATACAATGGAATATTATGTGACAGCAAAATGGAATGAAGTACTGATAACATGCTATGACACAGATGAACCCTAAAAACATTAATTGGAAAAAAAGAGATATGTAAAGGCCATGTATTGTAAGAACTCACTTATAAAGTCTAGAATAAGCAAATCCATAAGTATATTAGTAATTGCCAGGGCTGGAGGTACAGGAGAATGGAGGACAGCTACTGGGCATGGGAATTTACTAGGGGTGAGAGCAGTGATGGTCACAAAATTTTATTACAGCAGTAAAAATCAACAAATTGTGCATTTTTCTTCAAATGGCGCATTCAAAGTGTGAGTTATATCTCAATAGTAAAGAAAGTTGATCTCAAGTTTAGTTCAGTGTTTAAAATTCATGAGACCATAAACAGATACTGTTTTAAACTGGTATCTCCTTCCAATATGTTTTTTATTGTATGTATGTGTTCACCTGCTTTAAAAAACAGAAAGTTGGGCTGCAAATGTGGCTCACTGGGAGGGAGGGGTGAGAGAGAGTAACCAACATTACATTCTCTCTATATTTTTTGAGTATAAGGATTTACACAAAGAAAATGTCTGAAGTCAGACAGCCCTAGGTTCAAAACAGACTCTGGCTTTACAGTCTTCTCAGCAAATCATCTCAGTCTTGTTTTCTCATCCTTAAAAGTAATATATAGTTAAGTAATAATGTAAGAGAAATCTGCCCATACCTGGACACTGGGCAGTAAAACAACAAAGGCCTCACAGTTTAACATGACATCTATACACAGTAGGGCAGAGATACTCAAAATTGTGTTAAAGAAAAAGGACAGAGTAAGTGTATGTTTAGGATCAGGAGAAACTGCCAGAGATTGTAGTACATTACACTCTCTCTAAAATGCATACATGTTCCAGTTGTTCTGTATTATCACTAATATGTCATGTTATCAGTCTTTTCAATTTAAATTTCCCTGATTAATGATATTTAGTGAGATTTCTTTACCTGTTCAAG